ATATATATCATTATTGTGATGGGGGCCCTGCAGTAAGTCATAGCCCCGGGGCCCAGTGCGGTCTTAAAACACATCCACATAACGAGTAGATCAGACAAAAGGGAAACTGAACAGGCAGGAACTTAAATACAAGGGTAATTAATAGAACACAGCTGAACGGCATCATAATTAAACTAAACAAGGACAGGAAAATGACTAAATAAGGAAACACAGAAAGGCACATGAGGAGCAAAACACACAAAACACAGACCAGAGTCTGACATTAACATAGAGTAATTGCTAACAGGCAAATAGCACAAACACATAAATGTTATATGCAATTTAACAAGCTACAGCACATGGCATCTATCAACGGCTGTTAAATATGAAGTGACTATCATTTCAAACTGGCTGTTTGTTAAAACCTCACGCTGATGAATCTTTCAGCAGCAGGGACTAGTGTGTGCTGGCTGACAGTATAGGTTTTGCATGGCTGTTTGGAAAGGATTAAGGCTCATTACGTTCCCAACAGTTGATGAATAGGTACTGTAATGAAATGCTGAATGGGACACTGTATAGAGGACCAAAAGTCTTCTGCTCATCCACTTAAATTTGAGTGGTAGAAAATGATTTGTGCTTGAGAGACAACCTTAGACAGAATGTTTTACAATAACATGTTTAATCATAAAGGAACACATCTTGATTTTGGTGTCAGGGTTGACGTTTGTGTCAGGTTTCCATTGAAAGTCTTGCTGAAAGGTTCAAGGTGAGATATTTCAGACAAAGATTCTCAAATCAAAATAAATGTGACATGATACATATTTTTCCTTTCATGTCTTTATGGGTGTCTAAAGTTCAATTTTTTCTAACATTTTCTTTCTAAAAAATCAGCTTATTTGGCGGGTGGGGGTGGGGGGATCTTCTGTGGAGACTTCTCGCTTATGGACAAGTGTATTGGAGCATAATCAAAAAGCACTGCTCTGTCCTCTGGGTAGTGCATATAAGCATTAAGATTCTTAGCAACACTTGAGTCTGAGTGCTTCTGCGTCATGTAGGGGGAGAAAATAGAGGCATATTCTCCCACACTGCCTTCTAAATAAATCATGCACTGATAATGGTTTGTGGTCTCAGCAGTACTGTATGCACTGAGAGATTCCTTTCTTAACAGGTTGGATGACAGTATGCCTTTTGTGGATTATGGCATTTAACCCTTAGATTACAGTGTTGCCTCAAAGTAACAAACTCCTTTTCTTCACTTTACAATAGCATGATGCATATGAGATGACAATAAAATTGTTGAAGGAATAGTTCATCCCGAAATATCCATGTAACTCCATGCACTATATTGTAAGTGTTCTAAAGTCGTTTGATAACTCCAACAGAAATGTTTGATAAACAGAAATAAAAAGTCAGCATGAAATGAAAATTCACTATTGTGGAAATGCATGTTATAGTTAAAAGAAAGAAACAAAGAAAGAAAAAAGGTGATTATTGTGCTGATACACTCTTAGAAATAAAGGTACAAAAGCTGTCACTGGGGCGGTACCTTTTTAAAAGGTAGGCCTACATGTTTGTACCTATTACACTCTTAAAAATAAAGGTGCTTCAAAAGGTTCTTCAAGCGATGCCATAGAAGAACCATTTTTGGTTCCACAAAGAACCATTCAGTCAAAGGTTCTTTAAAGAACCATCTCTTTCTTATCTTTTTATAATCTGAAGAACTTTCTTTCGCCACAAAGAACCTTTTGTGAAACAGAAAGGTTCTTCAGATGTTAAAGGTTCTTTATGGAACCATTTAGACAAAAAGGTTCTTCTATGGCATCGTGAAGCACCTTTATTTTTAAGAGTGTAGGTTCTAATATGCATACTTTAAGTACTAATATGTACCTTTAAGGTACCAAAATGGACACTTTAGGTACAAACATGTACCTTTTGAAAAGGTACCGCCCCAGTGACAGCTTTTGTACCTTTATTTCTGAGTGTACTAGTAAAATAACACTTTATTTTGAGTCCACTTCAGACATTCTATTAACTAAAAGTAACTTTGCAACTGCATGTCAACTACCAGTCAGTAAAGTATTAGACTGTTTGCTTAATATCTTCTAACACTTCATCCTTTTCAAGGATTCAAAAGGATTCAAAGCGTTTATTGTCATATGCCCAGTGAGGAAAACAAGTTTCCCTGAGCAATGAAATTCTTACTTTGCTGTCCACAATGAATGCCAAGACAGTGCAAAACTATACACACACATACACAAACTATACACACATACATACACAATGTAAGAAACATAATAATAAAAACTATGCTGCAGTAGTAGAAATACAGACTATGTGTATCTATATATGCGAGTATAGAGTAGAAATATAGAATGTGAAAATAGAAATATAGACTATGTATATGGTATCTATATATATGATGAAACAATTTGGACCGTCTGTTCTCTGAGATAGATAAGTCCACTAGCTAGCTACCTGTTTAAGAGTCTAATAGCTGAGGGGAAGAAGGAGTTCCTTAATCTGGAAGTCCTGCAATTTACACTCCTGTACCTCCGTCCTGAGGGTAGGAGTGTGAACAGTCTGTGTTGGGGGTGGTGGGGTCTTTAATGATGGATGCAGCTCTTCTGTTCGGGGGGCTCTTCTTGGGAAGGGGGATGATGGTTGTGGTCTTGAAGCAGGTTGGGACGATGCTCTGACTGAGGGAGAGGTTGAAGATGGAAGTCGATATTTGAATATCGAATATTGAGTCGAACAACACAACAAGAGCAAACAACATTTACATTATCAAAGAACATTTTTATTGACTTCAGTCTAGACAGAGTTCAAGCACTCTCAAAAACTCCCATTGTAATCAATGAAGCTGTTTACAGTCTAAAATGAGTATCTTACTTTAGTACTTACATTCGTACATCTGCACGTTGTTGTTTCTGATGAGAGAATTCAGTCAGCGAGTGCGCACGGTGAACAAAACAGCGGCGTTTCAGCAATGGCTCATCTGAACGCCTCTGATTGGCCATTGCATTCATAAGCTCAACAGAATAATGTGTGATTGGTTAAAATGCGCAGCACTGTAAAAACGTGTATGTCTCTGGCTCTGTGCCAGCCAGCGAACGCATTTAGCAGCTGGTTATATGCAGCACTGAACGTTTTAATCACACTGGTGTGATTGTATCAAGTATAAAAATATTATTCGGCTATTTTTTGTCTTTTTGAAGCTGCATTCAAAATCCACTTGGCTCAAACATTTGAGGAGGCACGCCTCTGACTGCAGTGCCTATTCTAATTTTTTGTTCTACAGACAAAAAAGTAATTGAATAACTTTTTGAACTATCCTTTTAATGTTTGAAGGAAGGACTTCATGAATAAAACAAAATAAAAAGCCTATCTTGGTCATAACTATGTATGAAGGCCATTTAAAATCTATTTCTGTGCTTTTCCATCAAATTCTGAGAATGGCTTTTCCTCAGGGTGCCAGTACCTTTGCATGTGGCTGCTGAAAGGTGACTCTTGAATTGTTGGCCAGGGCAGAGTACCTCAACAGGTTGGTGGATGTGGCTGGAAATCTGTGTAAACTTCCTGTCTGGCTGTGTAGGACAGACGAGAAGCAGATATGCACGGTGTCCTTCAGGGCTTTCAGTTGTGACTCCTGCAACAAATTAAGAGAGACAATGCATGAGAGTAATAGGCAAATGTTTATCACACTGTCATCTTAACCTTCTGTCCTCAAAGCATTTATCTGTTCATTTGCTTCACAATGTCTGTCAAAATTGCAAAATCCCTGGCCTAATAAGATAATAGAATTCATTCTCAAAGTTTACATTTTAAAAGACAGCAAAAGAGAAAAACAGTAAACCTCAACTGGAATGATGAAACTGATCGGCTCCTGACTTACCTTATCCAGTGCTGCCTTCTCCAGTTCATCTTTGGCTACTTTGAGTTTATTCTCCAAGTTCATCAGTTGCTGACCCTGCACAGAAGAGGCATTGATCCTCTTATCATCTTACCAAACTGACATAAGCCTTAGTTCAAATTGTGTATTTATATTTAAAGTGGTTTCCAGAAGTCTAGAGATGCTTATATTTAGCATTTTTAATTTTAATAAATGTTTTTATTCAATGCATTTTTAATTACAAATGATATTATCAGCATAACAGTTTAAATGAATCGTTATTAATAACCATGGGTTTACAGAATGATTTAAAAATTATCTAAAGAGCATTTTGAGCTTCAATGGGAGAAGAATATGGTCAATGTAACACATTTACTTATTTGATTTGGCATAGAAAAAAAAAACAGAATCTTAAATATGTCTTTATTAAATATTTATTTTTGGACCTAATATTTCTCTGTTTTAAAAATCTTAAAATCCTAAATTGGCTGTTTATTTTAAGGTTTAAATTATATTTGAATCCTGCATTTCAATGTGGTCACAGACATTGTGGATAATGAGCAAAACTAACCAAAGAACCACAATTTCTTTTCTGCTAGACTTATCTTTAGATCTTTACAGATTTATTTATATATAATATATTTTGGGTAGCATGAACTCTACTGTGAATGCTTATATAATTGAGCGTGATGCTCTTCATTCAGGCAGAACTACATAATGACTTGCCCTGAGTATGTCATTAGTTTAGTTTCATAAATATTGCTATATGACTGTGACACTGTTTGTGCAGTCAACAACATTGAGATGTGAACAGGTGATACAGATTGCCCATCTGGGATGATTAGCACACGTTATCTGGGATATGAAAAGTAGCACACTTGGATATAAGAGAGAAATTCGGTATTCATATTTTACAGAATGAACTTGAAATGTTCACACAGTTTCTTACAGATGAGTAGTCATCTAAAATCTAACATGAACAGGCCATGATTTTGCATTTTCACAAGTTTGAATGTTCCTGAAAAAAAAAAAAAGAAAAGTAATTTAGTTTGTGCTAAAAAGCCATTCGTTTGTGAAAAGCTTTTTAGAACGAGGTGAAACCTTTAGAAACTGCTAAAGTATTTAGTTTTGAGCAAGAAATAAAATCAAATGTAAGACACATCAGTCTAAAGCAAAATAGCTCTTAGTGTTTTTCTCAGTGACTCAGTGGTTAATCATGTACATACATGGTTAAGTTAATACACAACAAAACACAAGTAGTTTAGAAGTGAAAATAAGATTAATATGGCTGGCTGGATAAACTAAATAAATCTTTAATATTTCATTTCGTGTTACATTATAAATGTACTTGTGACTCTAAATGAATGTTCATTGTTATGGCTGACAAATTTATATAATCGTGGGATATTTTGTAATGTGGTTTGTTTTCAATCACTATAATGTTACCATAATCACAGTAAATTGTGGAACATCCTAATTGCTAGTTAAGCAGCTGACAAAAAAAAGTATTCAAAGTATAATTAAAAGAAAGAACATTGCAATCATTCAGATTGTTTCTTATAACGAGCTATTATGCCATTGCCGTCACAATTTAATCTTCAATCTATTTGTAATTATTTTCACAGACTTCAAGCACAACAGAGAAGAGCCACCAAAGCGATGGATCACAAAATGGAATCTTAAACAAGAAAGGTCTATTGCCTCAGGAACCAAAGAGAACTGATGGTAGATCAGGTGTTAAAGTATAACTACTGTCAACTTTAGACCCAGGACTGGGTGGGTAACCTCAGGAAGACGAAAGGAACGATGCAAGAGGCAGAGGTTGAATCAAGGCAAAACTTAACTTTCTTTATTTTTTCTCTCTCTTAACCACTTCGTATTTGGTTGCTTCATGAACAGTGAGATCACGGTAGGCTTTCTGTGCTTCCCCAGTTAGGAGAGGGAGTAACAGGTTCGCCCAGTCTGCCTTGGGCCATTGCTCTCGTTGGGCCGCTTTCTCAAAGAGATCGAGGTAGGTTTCAACATCATCTTCTCTAGTCATTTTGGTCAAATAATCCTGTGGTCTCCTACCCTGTGCCTCGGTCCTTCTGCAGAGCTCGGTGACTGCTGCGTTCAGTGAGCCTGCACCTGAGGCTCCCTGTCAGAGGGAAAAAGGATCACACCTGTTGTTAGGAGCTATCCCTGGTCCTGAACAGCACACCTTGAGGCCTCCTCTGACGGTGCTCTCCGTGGTGCTGACAGTGGCTGTGTTGCTTTGTGAGACATTGCTGACGCCCCACACTACTATACCAAGCAAATGCTAATGCTTTATATCAATAAGTTTTGGATAAACAGCAGTGCTGCACAATATGTAACAGTCTATGAATAATTTGACATATACATGTGCATAATTCAGGCACTTCACTCCAATACAACAATACATGATTGTGATAAATGGCAGCACTTTGAGCATAAGAAAAAAACATCTATTTAATTCTGGCTAGATCTGGGGAAAATACTTTGACAAAGCAGTCTTGCTCATTGTCCTTCTCTAGCTTTTTGCCGTGCTAGCCAAAGCCTCTGAATGTTCCTCCTTTGCTTCCCATTACTGAACAATGCCTCTTCAAACCTGCTCATACTTAAAAGGCAACTCTAGATATAAACTCTGAAAAGAAATGAATGTAAAAGGAGTAAGGATAATCTTCCTACATCGATCTTCCCTCAAACGGGGGAGGCAGAAATAGATGTACAGCCCGGATAAAAACACATTAGCAGAAGCTAAGCCCAGATTGGATATTGCTCTTTGAAAAAGTTTGCCATACATACACATGACATATTTTACAACACGTGTTAGCCTGTCTTCCCGATTAAGAAACAATAGTTTTAAAGTGATGCACTCTGTGTGAAAACCCAGTATTTATATGATGGTACCAAAGGGCAATGTGCTGGAAATATCAGCTGACATTTTCCCATCTAACACTGCAAATAAGGGAGGAAAGGTCAACCTGCATGGCAGGAAAGGTCACTGTTTTTACATGACTCGTCACTCTCATATCACATGAAAAGGTCAAACCATTCAATTAAAATGCACATATTACTCCTAATTTGTATTATTTTGGCCAAAAACACAGATTATCATTTTAGGATGGTGATATTCACATTGCTTTTTTTTTTTGCGTTTTCAAAAACATCTCAGAAGACAGTGTGGTTAAAAGTGGTTAAAATAACCCATTTTCCATGAGTGGTTTGTGGAAACTCTAAATGCCTGCATACTCCTAAAAGTAGTAAAACTAACTTCTAGCATTTGAATTTGACATTCTTTCTCTTCTGGTTAAAATTTATACAATACCGTTCCAATTATTATTTTTTTATATATAATGAATTCAGCATGGAGAAACAAAAGATGAAAAAAATGCTGTCATTTTGAACTTTCTATTCATCTAAGAATCCAGAAAAAAAAATCACAGTTTCCACAAAAATATTAAGCAGCACTTTTTTCAACACTGATAATAAGAAATGTTTCTTGAGCACCAAATCAGCATATTATGAAGGATCAAGTGATACTGAAGACTGGAGTAATGGCTGCTGAAAATTCAGCTTTTCCATAGCAGGAATAAATTGTATTTTAAAATATATTAAAATAGAAAACATTTATATTGAATGGTAATAATATTTCACGGTATTATACAATATTAAATTCTTAGCACAATTAAACTAAAACATCTGGTGATGTGTTCTGACTGACTGACATAGTAAACTGAATCAGAAATATCTTGTATATGGTTACAGTAACAAGACAACACACAATAGTAAGCCAAACAGGACCTTCTTTGAGCTTCAGAACTGTGGTCAGTACCGCCGCTCCCTATACCCAGAGTACGCAGTTTGCGTAGGGCACCAACTCCCAGGGGGGCACCAGTTGCTCAAAAAAAAACAAAAAAACTTTTGTTCTATATTAATATTAACATTAGGGCTGCACAATGAATCGCATGCGATATTTAATGCGCATCTTGTCAGTAAAACCGGTGTTCTGTAGATTTGTGCTACCCTGTCAGATTTTGCTACCTCCCATTAAAACAGTGGGTAGTACAATTCGACAACGAAAAATGCTACCTGTAAAATTATGGCTTATTAAAGGGGTCATATGATGCTGCTAAAAAGAACATTATTTTGTGTATTTGGTGTAATGAAATGTGTTTATGCGGTTTAAGGTTCAAAAAACACA